GCCCTGCCCTGCCCTGCCCTGCCCTGCCCTGCCCTGCCCTGCCCTGCCCTGCCCTGCCCTGCCCTGCCCTGCCCTCGCTCTCCTGGATCCCCAAGGGCCACAGGCCTTGCGCTTAGATCAGCCCGGACACACGCTGGCACAGTGAGGATATTGTGGCACAAGAGGAAAAGCCCAGGACAGGCAATCCAGGGCCAGCGCGTGGATCTGGTGGTGCTGAGGCCTGGGTGGGGAGGATGGACAGGGGCCTGCTCATTGGGTAGGGCTTCCTTCTAAGGCAGTGAGAATGTTCTAGATAGGGTCTAGAATTAGAAGCGATATTTGCAAAGCTTTGTGAACACACTAAAGGCCTCTAAATTGTATTCTTTAAAATGGTGAATTTGGGGATATTGTTTTATATCTCACAAACCACTGTAAAGGGGTCGACGAGATAGGCAAGCTTAGGCAAGTGCAGGGACAGCAGTTTGATCCCTGGCACCACATACAGCACCAGCCCCGCTCCCAGGGCGGGCTGAGCCAGCCACAAAAAGTGGCGTACACCTTTAATCCCAGAGCTGGGGAGGATGAAAAGTAGGAGGATCACTATGAGTCCAAGTTGGTAGTGAGCTGTAACAACCAAATACCAAAACAAACAAACAAATAAACAAAAACCCTGTAAGCTGAGTGTGATGGTCCACACCTGTCATCCCAGCTACAGAAGAAGGGGAGGCAGAAAGGTCACAGTCTGAGACCAGGCTGGGCCACTTAGCCAGTGGCCATCTCAAAATGAAATTTTAAACTGGGTGTGCTGGCTCACTCCTGTGATCCCAGCATTCGAGAGCCTGAGGCAGGAGGATCATTTCAAGTTCGAGGCCAGCCTGGGCTACAAAGTGAGCTCAAGGCCAGCCTGAACTGTATAGCTACCCTGTTGCAAAGAGAGAGAAAGGGCTGGCAAGATAACTCAGTGGACTAAGCGCCTGCTTAGACTAAGCGCAGGAACCGGGGTTCGATCCCTGGCATCACATGCCATGCCGGCCCCGCCCCCGGTCGCGCTGAGCCTGGGACCAAGTGGGGCGTGGTGGTGCCTGCCTGCAATCCCAGGAGGTTCCACCAAAAAAAAAAAAAAAGCAAGCAATCCCAGGAGGATCACTACAAGTCCTAGTTGCGTAGTGAGACCCTGTACCAAATACATAAATTAAAAAAACAAAAACAGATAACATTTAAAAACTGGGCACAGCTCACCAGCACCAGTCGTAGTCTTGGGTTCCATACCTACAGTAATCTTGGTTGAAGGAACGAATGAGCTTCCATCCCTAATTCTCCTTCCTGCCACCCCACAAGTCAAGCCTGACCCTCCGGAAGGCGTGCGCTTGAGCCCCCTCTCGGGGCAGCAGCTCCAGGTGTGGTGGGAGCCCCCCCAGTCCTGGCCCTTCCCGGAGATCTTCTCTCTCAAGTACTGGATCCGCTACAGAAGGCACGGAGCCATGCACTTCCGACAGGTGAGGAGGAGGGGCCAGGAAGGACAGCTGGTAGGGGAATCAGCTCAGGCGAAGGCCAGCAGGAGATGCCCACAGGGTGTCCAGCCACACACTGGAATATTACTCAGCCAGGAAGAGGAGTAAGGCTGTAGCATTTGCCATCATGGGGCTGGCCCACCACCATCAGTGAGAGAACAGGCACTCAGCTCCACACCCCCAGTGGGCCTTTGATTTTTTTTTTTAAACTCATTATTAACTTTATTGAAAATCAATAATAATTATATAGCAAATTAAAAAGTAGACAAATATTGAAATGTGAAAGAGAAGATGTAGACAGTGAATTTTATTTTATTTATTTTTTAGACAGTAAATTTTAGAAAAATATTTCTGAAATGAATACATAATATGAAATTAATAATAGATTGCACATTGTAAAAAATTATTTACAAATTTAAATGAATGCAACAATAAAAACTGTCTAACATAAACATGAAGAAGACAGAGTTCAGAGATCAGTCATATAATAGTTCACTCTGGGGGTGGAAGAGATGGCTCAGTGGAATAAGCGCTTCCCTGGCAAGCGCAAGGGCCTGAGTTCGATCCCCGGTTCTGCAAAAAAAAAAAAAAGTTCACTCTGTTCCGGGTCTTTGATTTTTAATTTAGATCAATTATTTGTCTAATTCTGTGACTGTATGGCTGCCCTTCTCTATGCATAGATTCTGCAGTCACCAGTTCAATGAACTGGGGATAAAAATATTCAGAAGGGGCCGGGCAGATAGCTCAGTGCAATAAGCACTTCCCTGGCAAGCACAGGGCCTGAGTTCAATCCCTGGTTCTGCAAAAAAAAAAAAAAAAAAAATCAGAAAAAACAGTGTGTGGTGGCACGTGCCTGTAATCCCAGCACTTGGGAGATGGAGGCAGGAGGGCTACCAACCTGGGCTACATAGTGAATTCAAAGCCAGCCTGAATTACACAGTGAGACCCTGTCTCAAATACAACACAACAAAACAAATGCTGGCAGGCCAGGGATATAGCTCAGTGGCATAAGTGCCTGCGTGGCAAGTGCAAGGTCCTGAGTTCAATCCCTGGTTCTGCAAAAAAAAAAAAAAAAAGCTAGTGATTGTTTTTTATTAAAATTTTACTTAGAGATAGAGCCTTGCTAAAATGCCCAGAGTGGCCTCAAACTTGAGATCATCCTGCCTCAGCCTCCAGAATCACCAGGATAGGAGGGTGGTGCAAGAGTTTCCATCTTCTCACTTGCGCTGGGGATATCTAAGGCATAGCGGAGCTATGTGAGGCCTGTGGTATAGACTGGTCATTGGGATCAGAGTCCTGGGCTTGTTCCAGGCAAGAGCACCAGGGCACCCCATCTCCTCCACCCATGACCCCACATTTTTTCTGCTCACAGGTGGGCCCTATTGAAGCCACATCATTCATCCTCAAGTCTGTGAGGCCCCGGACCAGATATTGTGTCCAGGTGGCTGCCCAGGATCTCACAGATGCCGGGGAATCGAGTGACTGGAGCACCCCTGCTGTTTCCCCCATGGCCCTGGGCAAGTAATGGAGGGAGCTCCCAGTGCCCCAGAGGCCTAGGGCCTGGGCCCCCACGGCTGCTGTCCAGTGGAGTTGGAAGGGATCCTCTTGGCCTGCAACCTGCCTCAACTACTGCTGCCCAGCTGCTGGAGCACATTGGGCAAGTGATTTTTCCTCCGAGCCTCAGTTTCCCAACCTGTGGAATGGGCACATGCTGTTTCTTTTGGTCACAGCATAACTGTGAACAGGAGGCACCTTCAACAAAATTAAATTAGAAAAGAATCACTGTTGCGAGGTCATTCCTGTGTTGTTGGTCTCCTCTGTGAGGACACGAGAGTGAGCCAATCCGTCATGACCCAGAAAGAATGGCCATCATCTAGAAATCAAGTAACACCAAGTGTTGGCGAGGCTTCAGGGGAAAGGAGCCCTTCTACACTGCTGGTAGGGTTGGAAACTAGCACAGCCATCGTGGAAGTCAGAGATGCTTCAGAAAACGAAAACTAGAAGTTCCTTTTGACCCAGCTATTCTCCTTTCTGGGTGTGTTTTGAAACAGAGACATCAGGTTACAGTGACTCACGCATACCTATGCTGATAGCAGCACAACTCACAAGAGGTAAAGCTTGGAAATAGCCTAGCTGTGCATCGATAGGTGACTGGAGAGAGAAAGTGTAGTATCAGCCTACGGTGGAGTACTACTCTGCCAGTAAGAAGTATAAGCTCAAGACATTCCCAGCTAAATGGGTGCATCTTGATAGTAGATTTTATTTTTTTTTACATTTATTTAGTGTGTATGTGTGTGTGTGTGTGTGTGTGTGGCCAGCTCAGCCCACCAGGGGGCGGGGCTGGCTGGCATGTGGTGCTGGAGGATTGAACCGTGGTCCCTGTGCTTTGCCAAGCTTGTTCCAAGTAGGTGCTTTAGACCACTGAGCCATCTCGCCAGCCCCAGTAGATTTTATTTTAGTAATTTTTTTTTTTTTTAGTACTGGGAATTGAACTCATGACCTTGAACTTGCCAGGAAGACACTGGGCCACTAAGCTGTATCTCGGAGCATCTCGAGATCTTACTGTTAAGGGAAATAAATCAGACACACACTCTCAAATATTGCATGATTTCTCTTATATGAGAAATCCAAAGTGTAAATAGATCAAAGAGTAAAATGAAAGAGACACAACAGGAAGTAGGAATAGATCCTTGGCAAGTGGGAAGGGGATCAGGAGATGGAGGGGGCAGGAGGGAGGAACAGTGAAGGGGATTTTAAAAAAAGAATCAAGATGTGTTGTGTAGGGCTGGAGAGATGGCTCAGTGGTCTAAAGCACCTACTTAGAACAAGCTTAGCAAAGCACAGGGACCGCGGTTCAATCCCCCAGCACCACATGCCAGCCAGCCGCGCCCCCTGGTGGGCTGAGCTGGCCACACACACACACACACACACACACACACACACACACACTAAATAAATAAATAAAATTAAAAAAAAAAAAGATGTGTTGTGTAGCTGTGCCCTCTCCCCATGGTGACTGTATTATGTATATCACAAACATGTACTTTTTAAAAAAGAGCCAGGTGTGGCAGTGTGTGCCTGTTATTCCAGCCCTCTAGGAGGCTGAGGCAGGAAAATCTCAAATTTCAGCTCAGCCTGGCACCTTAGTGACTTCAGAAGACCTTGTCTCAAAATAAATACATTGAAAAGGGCCTGGGGAGTAGTTCAGTGTGGAGGGCCCAGTTTCAATCTCGCAAGAGCGAGAGCGAGAGTCACTGTGAGTGCGAGTGACCCACCCCTCCTGCCTGGACCCACTTCTAGGAGCACATTCAGGTACAAACCTACGGGCTGAAAAATCCTCTGATGGGCACAGTGCCCCCATGGCTCAGTCCCCTTCCAAAGCCTTCCTCTGGCAGAGGGTGTGATGGCACACATTTGTGTTCCCGGTACTTGGAAGGCTGAGGCAGGAGGATCCCTAAACATGTGAGGCCGGTCTAGGCTCCACAGTGAGTTCAGTGTCTATACAGCAAGACCCAGCTTCAGAGCTGCCTAGATGTGGCCGCTGCCCGTGAATGAAATGAGGCATGAGGCTCTCGAAAGGTTTCTCCGAGGAGCAGAACATGCACCCGCTTAAAGTTGCTGTGCTTGAGGGTTTCACTCAGCTCAAAAGTGGCCTGTGCTGAGAAGCTGTCCCTGATGAGCCTGTCTGTGGCCCGCAGAGTAATGACCCCCCAAAGACAGTGGCACCCTAACTCCAGAGACTGGGAATACAGTTACCTGCCACAGCCAAAGGGACCTCACAGGAGCGACTCTCTTAAAACCCTTAAGGAGCCTTAACCATAAAAGATCTTGCATTAAATTAATAGAAATCAACCAGCGTTGGTGGCGCACATCTGTAATCCCAGACACTTAGGAGGCTGAGGCAGGAGGATCATAACTCACAGCAGCCCTCCCACCTCAGCCTTCTGAGCACTGGCCATGCAGGTGGGCACCCTGATGCCCTCCACAGCGCAATGAAATGTTGCCAGGAGCTAGTCCGGAGTATGTGGATGAGCCTAGCATGATCTCAAGCATCCAGATAAGACGCAGGCAGAGGGTCAGGGTGAGAAAGGGGCCAAAAGATACTGGAAGCAGAGGTTGATGTAGAGCCACAAGCCCAAGAAAACAAATGGCTACTTCTGGAAAGTCAAGGGAGCTGACTCTCCCCTGGAGCTTCCAAGAGACCCAGTCCCACCCGTGCTGTTGTGTATTTATTTTATTTTCGAGACAGGGTATGTCATTCAGGCTGGTCTTGACCTCACTATGTAGCCCAAGCTGGCCTTGAACTCATGGAAATCCTCCTGCCTCAGCCTCCGGAGGGCTGGGATTATAAACATGTTCCATTGCACCAGCTACACTGGGGGATTTGTGATGAGAAGATAGTTATTTAGCTCACAGTTCTAGATGTGGGGAAAGGCACTAGATCGAGGGCAGCATGTGGTGAAGGACTTCTGTCTCCTTTATTTATTTGTATTTTCAGGAAGGGTCTGCAGGGTGTTCAGGGTCTCACTGCTAGATCGGACTCGTAGTGATCCGCCTGTTTACAGCCTCCCAAGAGCTGGGATTACAGGCATGCGCTACCACGCCCAGTCTTAATTGCCATCTCATCATGCCCCAGGACCGAACCCCTGGCCCCTGTGCCTGCTTGCAGGTGCTCTAACCCGCTGAGCTATTTGGCCTGCCCCTCGCTGTCTCCTAATAGGGCAGGAAGCACGGTGTGGGTGAAACTGTCACCTTGAGGACCTGCCTTTGTGGGCATCTGTCCTTTGTGCCTTCCTAGAAAGCATGCAGGTGGCTGCGCATAGGAGCAGTGGGGTTCACTAGAGCTGATGTAGAGAGATTTACGTCTCCAAGCAAGAAGTCAAGCGGTGCCACGAGGGGTTCAGCACGGCATCCAAATGTACACATCTGTAAACACGTGTGATGGTCGCTTCTGGGGCTTAGGCTACTAGGATGCTTATGATGTTCATCAACATCTTTCCGAGAATTTAGTTTGGAATTGTAAAATGTCGTCCTGTCCTTTTCATATCGTCAGTGCTTCCTCGGGGTCCTTAATCATATGAAGATCAGGCTCCAAACACAGAGATGTCAGAACCGGGCATGGTGGCGCATGCCTGTAATCCCCACCCTTGGGCGGCTGAGGCGGGAGGACACTGTGAGTCCTGTTATGGGTCATTCTGCGTAGGAACCAGATCAGCCAGATAGAAATTCGAATACAGCCTTTTATTTACTGAGCTCAGGACCATCAGCGACTTCTCACTCAGAAGACCCAATGTAGGTAGCAGGGGGTACTTCTCACAGAAATCACACCCAGTTTGGTAAGCGAATTTGTTATCTAACACTGAACAACAGAAAACTACATTCATCTGACACAGCAGCAAACTGTATGTAACTAAAGGGTCTTTCACAGCTTAGTGATAAGTGCATATTTTTACAAGATACATCTTAAACTGACCACGTTACAGGAGATGGTTGGGAAGGGAGTTTGTGTTAGCTTGCTGCCTTGACAAGAAACAGCTATTTATTGAGTAGATAACAGAAAACACAAGGGTTTTTTTAAAAAAATAATTTACCACAGTGAAGGCGCAAAATTCTGTTAACCCTTTACATTCCCCACTGGTTTTGTCCGGGAATCAAATCTTTGATTCATTTAAACCTCATAACTTGAGTTTCCCGGAGGTGTGAGAGGCGCATAGTTAGATCTCAACACCATTAATTTTATTGTCTGATTTTTTGTTGTATATATGTAGTCAGTTTATTATACAAGGTCCGATGAGCAGGACCAAAAGAAATATGGTCACGGGCTCAATCAGAGCAGTTACCAGATTATTTATCCAGGGGGATATTGAAAATAACCCTCAGTGAGCCTGCCCATTAGCTAAATTGTTTAAGTGCCTGCTTAAACAAAGCAGTCAGCCTCAGGGAGCTGACTCAAGCCAATCCAGACCAGCGCTGGAGGCAATGTGAGGCCACCAAAAAAAAGAAAGAAAGAAAGAAAGAAAGAAAGTAAGAAAGAAAGAAAGAAAGAAAGAAAGAAAGAAAGAAAGAAAGAAAGAAGAAAGAAAGAAAGAAAGAAAGAAAATAACCCTCAGTCATTACCTCTACAGATACCTTGAGCTAACTCTTTTAGTATGTTTATTTGAGTCTGTATCTGATGGCTATTATCTGATAGATTAAAACAGCACATGTTTCTCATTTTTTATATCCTTGATAGTGAAACAATAGTAATAATCTATGGCAGCCTGATTGTCTAATATAGCTTGTTTATGTTTCTTTTGTTCTGTATTGAGTAGGGCGATGGCCATTAAAGTGGTATTAAGACCTTTGGCCACCTTACAACCCAATTGTTTCACTTTTTTTTTTGTTGTTATTTCACCAAAGTTTGGGGGGGGGGAGTTGTTTGGTTTTGTGGTACCGGGGATTGAACTCAGGACCCCGTGCTTGCCAGGCAAGCGCTTATTGTACTGAGCTATTTCCCCGGCCCCAAAGTATAGGTTTTCACCAACACTGAGTATCATAGCATCGGCTTCTGCATCAGACAGGAAAGTGACTTTGTCATTACAGTCAGGAGGAAGAGGGATGTTAGACACTTCTCTCCTCTTGCAGGGTGATGATGTTTTTTGGATTGTATAGCATCAAATCATCTTGAGACAGAAGAATTACAGTCAGCCTGCTTAAACAACAGGAGACCCTATCCAGATAAGCTGGGATATAGTTAAAAGCA